CCTGGCAGCGGCCGCGCGGGGAAGGGGCCGACCCGGCACGAGGAGGCGGCTGGAGCAGCCCGACCCGCCCACGGCACAGCCCCGCCACGGGGACCGGGACCCCCGTCGCCCTCCAGAGCGGGATGACCAGAATTGGGAGGGGGGCCTGTCACATTCCCGTGACTCAATCCCAGCCGCAAAACCGTTTTCCCCCAAAAGAGCGCTGTCCACATCCCACCCCAGCCCTCTCCAGCCTTCCCGAAACCTCCAACCCCCCCACCCTCGGAGGTCAGCAGAGCCTTTCCTGATATTATCTTTCGGTCACTGGTTTCTCGTCCCTATCATTCAGTCACCGATTACAAGATTTTTTTTTTCCTTTAAAATATGTGTATGTATTTCTACTACACAAAAGTAAACAAAATTACAAGCCTAATTTTTCCCAAAGGTAAGGTTAAATAAACCGATTACAAGAGCCTACTAAGTGTTAAGCCTAAGGTGGACAACATCCTCCAAGCAAGAGCCACAGAGATAAAAAGAACAGGGCCCCTGCCTTCAAAGACAGTGAGATGTTGACATAGATCACATATGTATGTATGTATAACATATCTGCGTATGCAGATTGACGGTGTGATGCCAGAAGCAACTACAAAGCACAGCGAAGAACATTATGAACCTTCTCAGACCTTAACTATGCTTTTTGCCCCTTGTTTGTATGTCTTTGTTACACATTTCTTTTTCCCTTTAAAATATGTGTATATATTTCTACTACACAAAAGTAAACAAAATTACAAGCCTAATTTTTCCCAAAGGTAAGGTTAAATAAATGTACTTTCACAACTTTAGTTTTTGTGTCATTCTGACATACACCAACTGATTGTCAACCCTGCATATAGGATATGTTACAGAAGGAAGAGGCTTGAAATAGTATTTCTACTTTCCCTTGAATGAGATTACTGTTTACAAGTCGTGTGTGTGTGTGACAAGGGTAATCTGATGTATGCATTCCTATGTATGGTTATAAATTTTAAAAAGTGAGAGGGAAACTGTTACAACTTGGATATTGCTAGTAGAAGAAAGCATCCTCAACTTTAAGGAGTTTCTTGGGCTTTGTCAACTTCAGGACCAGATCTTCAGTACAATGTCAGCCCTTTTTCCTCTACCTCATCCTGTAAAATTGTCCCTCTAAAAATGCTCACCTAGGTTGAGCATGGTGGCTCACATCTATAATCCCAGCACTTTGGGAGGCTGAGTTGAGAGAACTGCCTGAGCCCACAGGTTCAAGACCAGCCAGGGCAACTTGGCAACACCTCATCTCTACAATAAATAAAAAACTTAGTTGGGCATGGAGGCACGTGCTTATAGTTCCAGCTATTTGGAAGGCTAAGGTGGAAGGATCACCTGAGCTCAGCAGGTCAAGGCTGCATTGGCTGTGAGCATGCCACTGCACTCCAGCCTGGGAGACAGAGTGAGACGACAACTCAAAAACAAAAACAAAAAATGCTCACCATGTACTGTTAAATGATTAAATAAAAGACATGTTACTATTTACTTATTTATTTCCTGATTTAATAGGTAAATACATGACTAGTGCAAACAACTAAGAAAATTCGGGAACATATACCCAAAATTAAAAGTCCTTTATAACCCCAACATCGGGAGCTAAGGAGAAACAAGACCATCTTTAAAAACATGGGCTTTGGCTTTTGACAGACCTGGATTTGAATCAGCTACTTTCCAGCTAAGTAACAATCCATGAACTTAAAATTCCAGAGCCCTAATTTCTTCATCTATTAAAAGTGGGTCATAATACAATTTATAACATAAATGTTAGGTAATGCAACATATGTAAAATGTCTAGCCCAGGGCATCACATATAAAAGTGCTCAAAAATGTTGCTGATGGCCAGTCACGGCGACTCAAGCCTATAATCCCAGCATTTGGGGAGGCCGAGGCGAGAGGATTGCCTGAGCCTGTGGGTTCGAGACCAGCCTGGGCAACAGAGTGAGGCTCCAGCTCAAAAAAAAATTTTTTTTAATGTTGCTGATGATGATTCCTACTTCATTACCTCTGTTAGCTCCTGCATTTCCCTCCTTCTGTGCACACTTCTTTATGCAGTTGGATAATAATGTATATACAATTTTGTACACATTTTTCTCTTAGCATTGCACTGTTAATATTTTCTCATGTTGTTTTTTTTTTTCAAAAAAACTTGTGTAATGATGCAGAGTGAGTGCATACCACAATAATTTAATCATTTCCCCCTTGGTGTGTTTTGGCAGTTTCCATTTTTTCACTATTAAAAACAGCCCTAGCCAGGCAGAGTGGTTCACACCTGTAATACCAGCACTTTGGGAGGCCAAGAGATTCCTTTGGGAGCCCAGGAGGTTGAGGCTGCAGTGAGCTGTGATCATGCCATTACACTCCAGCCTGGGCCGCCAAGCGAGACCCAGTTCAAAAATAATAATAAATAAATAAAATTTAAGAAAAACAACACTGCCTTGAACATATTATGCCATTGTCTATGTTTCTTCTTTCTCTTAATTCTCTTCTTTGATTTTGTGGCCTATCTCTATCATCAAAATGGAAGTCCATCCAGGACAAAGCTTGAGTCTCCACCATCAGACTAGGAGCTTTTCCAGACAAGGGTTATATCTTCATTCAGAAAAGGACTTAGGCTGGGGCCAAGCTCATAGGAACTAGTGGATGCTCTGTTTGTCCTGCCCCCCACCTCTGTCTCTGAGAGTAACCTCCCTGCTTCCTGGGGCTCTGGTGGAAGAGCCAATCACAAGGAAGGCAGACACGAGAGGCAGGACTGACAGTGATCCAGGCCAGGCCATCAGTATCTCCCTGGGGAATCTGAATTGGTAGCAAACTGACATGAGAGGGGAAATGTCATTGCTTAGTTGGGCAATGGTAACAGGAAACAACCCATGAGCTCTACTACTGGACCTCAGAACCACCCTGATGCCTGCCACACCTAAGACAGGTCCCCTCGTTTCTTCTTCAGCTCTTGACCCACCCAGTAACCTTTCATCTCCATCCCTTTTGCTTTTTTTCTTTTTTGAGTTGGCATCTCACTCTGTTGCCCAGGCTGGAGTGCAGTGGCACACTCACTGCCACCACAGCCTCAACTTGCTGGGCTCAGTTGAGCCTTCCATCTCAGCCTTCCAAGTAGCTGGAACTATAGGCATGTGGCATCACGCCCGGCTAATTTTTCTTGATTTATTGAAGAAGGTCTTGCCAAGTTGCCCAGGCTAGTCTCGAACTTGTGGGCTCAGGCAATCCTCTCACGTCAGCCTCCAAAGTGCTGGGATTATAGGTGTGAGCCACTGCGCCCAATCCCTTTTGTTTTCATTAACCAAAAGAAAGTTACGGCTACCACGGATCCCTAACTGACACAAATATTGGCACTAGAAAGGGGGTTTCCAGCCTGGGCAGAAGGCCCTGAAACACCTGTCTGTGTTTGGAATTGGGAAAACAGCAATCTGTTGGTACAAAAAGGTGAAGCAGCTAGCCAAATATCAGCTGTAAACACCATGACCATGTTTCCTCTGAGGGTCCGTTCTAGGGACCTGAGTGGCTTTGGCTATAGACAGAGTTAAAAGGAATGAAGAAATCAGGAACACTGAGTGAAATGGCCGCTTTTTTTATTTTTATTTTTTTGCAACAGGATCTCACTCAGTCACCCAGGCTGGATCAGAGTGATGCAGTGGCATGATCACAGCTCACTACAGCCTTGACCACCTGGGCTCAAGCGATCCTTCTGCCTCAGCCTTCCAAGTAGCTGGGACTACAGGCATGCATCACCATGTCTGGCTAATTTTTGTATTTTTTATAGAGACAGAGGTCTCACTGTGCTGCCTAGGCTGGTCTCAAACTCCTGGGCTCAAGCAACCCTTCCACCTCAGCTCCTCTAAGTGCTGGGATTAAAGGTGTGAGCTACCATGCCCAGCTGGATTCTTATAATGGCATCCAGTAACATCAACCAAGATAAACCCAAATGTCTAGATTACTGATTCAAGAAATAAGACCCTTATATGAATGGCCCAAAAAATCTCTTAAGATGTGTTGCTACAGGATATAGAACAGTTAGAATAAGATTCAGGGAGTATGGGAGAGCTGAGCTGCCAGGCCTTGAACCTACCACAAGTTCCTAAGTGATCAGATCAGATCACCTCAGGAATTGGTAGAATCCTCACCTTGGCCCCCAACTGCTGAACTGAAAAGTAATAGACTAGGAAGAGCTAAGCCGAAGCCCCTGGTGCTCCCTCTCACCCCCCAAATAACAAATCAAAAATGGTATCATGTCTGTAGGAATCGGCCACTATCAACGGCATGAAATATGCAGAGGTCCTATCCCTAATGGACATCTGCCACATTGTTCGGTTTTGGTTTTGCCTGACCAGCATCCTACTCCCCCACACACCCATAATCTGGGATTGAGACCCTGCTGTGAAAGAGTGCTGGCAGGGTCTCTTTTCTTAATGTGAACCTGATATGCCAGGTGTCCCTCCCCTACTTGCTCTGGAGCAAGCTCTGATGGCATGCTGGCACCAGGTGGAGGTGGACAGCTACGGCATGACGTCCCCAGGCAGGATAGCCCAGAGGACAGTGGGGAAGAGAAATCTTCATGGAGGACAGAACTCCTAGTGCTAGAACCACCTATATCAAAAGATCCACATCCTAATCCCCAGAACCTGTGAATGTTACCTTATTGCAGATGTAACCAAGGATCTCTCAGTAGGGAGATCCCACACTATTATCTTCATGATCCTTAAATCCAGTGACAGGTGTACTTACAAGAGACACACAGAGGAGTGGGTGTCTTAAAAGGTGACGTGACCATGGAGGCTGAGATTGGAATGGCATGGCCACGGCCAAGGAAGCCAGCAGCCACCAGAAGTCATAAGAGGTCTCTAAGCTCTTCTGTGAGGGGTGACGCTCTGCTAACGTCTTCATTTCTAC